CCCTCCCCCCCTCCCGGCGGGGCGTGTGATGGACGATAGTCCCCCCTATGGCCAAGAGGGGGCGGTGCTACTCAATGCCAAGCTAGCTGGCAGATTGTATTGGTGCTGTTGTTGATGGTGGTGCTGGTGTTTGAGTCATCGTCGTTGGGTGTTGTTGTCAACGCGTGTCGAACGTGGCCCGGTCTCATTGCCATAGCTCCTCTCTCACGTGCTTCTGGAAACAAAAGGGGAAGGGGCGTTTGTTTTTCCAGACGGTTTTCCCGCCGCCTGACGACAAGTGTCTTGGTAGCAAGCAAAAGCACCGCACATATATTGTGACACATCTTTTATTTCCTGCATGGTATATATACAGCAGGTGGCATACCTGCTACCGAATAGACGCAAACCTTTTTTTTTCGGCCTTCTTTTTAGCGTGGCTACGTCGGGAGTGCCTACCAGTGGTGTTGGTTGCATGGAGTGAAAACAATTGATTTCCCTGCAACGCGTCTTTAAGACACACCCATAACGACTACATTTTCTTAACGACCAACATTAACTTCAGCAGCAGCGGCCGCAGCAACAGCAAGCTACAATCACACGATGAAAGCTCAGCGGTACGATGCCTTGCCCTGCCTCGACTTGCACACCCACTCTCGCCGCGAACACACCGCTCAAACCTAACAACAAACCATTCGACCAATTTCCGCCCGAGAGGTGGACGCATTGCGGGAAGCTCTAGGCACGGTCGAAGTGAACATGGTGACCAACCTCGTGGACCCCTACTGCGTGGCCATGGCCACCAAGACTAAGGTGGTGAGTGGCCTCCGGGAGCATGCTCCGCGATAGCACGAGGTCATGTGCATATACGGCGGTGAATCAGGTCCGAGGCGACAGCACCGGAGCTTGTGTAGCGTTTGGTGTACGGCGTCAACCCGCGATATGGCTTGTCTCCGGCTTTCACAGATTCGGCGCGAACTTCCACGGTCTGGAAGAGTAGGGTAGCGGTTGCATGATGACACGTTCCGCCCGTGGTTGTGATAATCCCTGCGTCCTCCACCCCGCCGGGTCCTGCTACCTAGATTACAGCCCCCCCCACCCCATCGGTGTTTGCCATCGGGATTGGGTTTTCGTCGCTTGGCAACGACGTTGTGAAACAAGCAAATTCCCTTCGTGAGCTCGGCAACCAGGTTACCGTTTTTTTTTTTTACCCCAGTTTTTTTTTGGCGGTAACCATAGTGGTGGTCGAATAGATCATGTTGTGCGGGGTGGAGAACCCTCACTCCGCGCAAGGGGATGATCGCACCACGTTGTGTTAAAATGGTCAGGCACCCTCGAGGCAGTTACACAGAGCTTACAACTGTCTCGGGAAGTGAAAGCACCAGAAAATCAATTAAGTCATACGCAGCTGTCATCCGTACGCAAGGAAGTAAGCACAAGATGCCGAACACCCTTAGCAGGATGCAGCGCACCCTTCATGCGACTCGCCGAATATCTCACGGCGCTTCGCGCTTGGTGATGTGAGAGCCTGGTCCGGTGAGAACCCGGCGTGCTCCGTCCCGGCTTTGTAGGGATGCGAGGTCAATGGTCTAGCGACTACGGCATGCACGACTATGATTACACTCCCCCCCCCTCAATCTTT